AGTCTAGACCAGGCATGGTGGCTGGCTTACGCTTGTAATCCCAGAACTTTGGGAGATTGAGGAAGGAGGGTCTCTTGAGCCCAGGAGTTCGAGACCAGCCTGGGCAACATAGGGAGACCCTGTCTCTACAAAAAATAAAAAAATTAGCTGGGCCTGTTGGCTTGTGCCTGTTGTCCCAGCTGCTTGGGAGGCTGAGGTGGGAAGGTCGCTCGAGCCCAGGAGTTTGAGGCTGCAGTGAGCCATGATCCTGCCATTCCAATAAAGGCGACAGAGAGAGACCCCGTCTCAAACAAACAAAAAGCCTGACTCTGCCCAGACTAATTAAATCAGAGTATCTTGGGGGTGGGGGTCCTGGCCTAATTAGTTCTTAAAGCTCCCCAAGTTGATTTTAATGTGCAGCCGCAGTTGAGAGCAATGTTCTACCCCTTGCTTCTTAAAGTGTGGTGCACAGCAGTAGCGGCATCACCTGGGAGCTTGTTAAAAATGCACTTGGGTGCCACTTGGATTCCCCAGATTTTCTAAATCAGAATTTTAACAAGGACCCCAGGTGATTTGTCCAAGTGATAATGTTTGAGAAGCACTACCGAGGAACCAGACAGGAGAAGGTGGACTTCGGGGTGTTCCTCCCAGCCTACAGGGAAGTATGTGGCTGCTTGAATGGGGGCAAACCTGCACTCCTCCACAAGTCCCGATCTAACAGCTGGCTCAGCATTTTGTCAGGCTAGGAGGCCGGCATTCTAGTGTAGATAATGTAAATGTCTTACTCCATGGGCAAAATCCCCACACTGAATAGCGACAGCAAAGCAAAGCAAAGCAAGGGGTTCCATTCCATCGGGAAAGCTGGGACTAGCAGAATATATTTGCTAGGAGTCCTTTCGGAGGAGTGAACAACAGAATAAAGAACCAGCCCTCGCGGTCCTGTCACGTCCCTGCACCCAACTAACCGCGGGCTGGGCCTAACCATGATTGCTTGCACTGTGAACACTGCTGCTTGCGCAGGGAACCCGCCCTCAAAGCCGCAGCGCCCTGCGATTCTCTCCACCAGCGCCCCACCCCCGCCCCACAACTTGCCTCCAGAAAGGGAAAATAAAAAGCGATCAAAAGTATTCCAATTCTATTACTGGTTTGGTTTCAAAATGTTGGCCCTGTTCCTTCGGGCTGGGCCGGGTGGGTAGAGCCGGGACCTCCTTGTTTCTTGAGGCTCTTGAGGCTCTTGCAAGCGCGGGAACTCGCGTGGGGGCGGGATCCTCAGGGCCTCCCGGGCGTGGGCGCGCTGCCACGCCCTCTCCCGGGCCCTGATCCGGGCAGCGGTGCCAGGGGATGGGCGAAGGCGCGCGGCGGGCGCTACACTGCCCCCCTCAGGGCGGGCGACGCGCTCCTTCGCAGACCGAGAGCGTTCACTTCCTGGGCCCGGCTGGCACTGCCCTGCGCCGCTGCCTGTCAGTCCCGGTACCCCGCCAGGAAATGTCTTCTTCCTGGGAGGACGGCCGCTATCTGCGGAATCGGGTGGCAGAGTCTGAAACCAATTTGCACAAGCCCTGGGCGACAGAAAACCTTGTGTTCCTTTTAGGGACTGTTCCCTCAGAACGAGCAGCTTAAAAAATGTTCCCTGTGAGATCTCAGCTCATAATTGCCCCTCATATCCATCCCCGGGAGGAGGCATGAGGGTGGAGGAAGCATCTTCATGGTAGATAGAAGCTTAAACGCTGCAGGAGCTGCCAGGTCGTGGCGGCCAGGAGGCGGCCCCTTTGGGGCCAGCTGTTTGCTGTGTAACTGAGAGCAGAGCAGAGTTCTCTGAGGACACAGGCCATTAGGTAAACACCCTCCTTGTCCCTCAGGCAGCTGGGTGGACAGCGGCCGCCTTTGGCCGGGATGCAGGGGCACCCAGCTGTTGCCCAGCCAATGAGGACACATAGCTTCTGAGAAAAGCACAAGGGTGGCCCCCCTAGGCCACCTCTATAGGGAAAATTACACACACACTTAAAAATCTTGTGACTGGATGCTCAGCACTGGCCCTGGAGCCTGGACACACCTGCCTCTTTGTTGGCAGTAGCTGGCCTGACAGGGGCGTCGTCTCCACTGAGATATTGGCTCCTTCATGAGCTCATTCCCATCCTCTACCTTCTTCCTCCTGTTTCCTTAGTTTCTCTTTTTCTTGTCTTCCACTTTTTTCATCTTCTCTCCCCATTTGTTCCACCTCTCCCTCTTCGTTTCTTTCTTCCTTTTTCATTCATTTAAAAATGTACTCATCATGCATTAAGCACTGTAGTAGTCTGCGTGGCTGCCATAACAAAATACCAGAGACTTTGTGGCTTCAACAACAGAAATTAACTTTCTCACTTTTGAGGGCTGGAAGTCCACAATCAGGGTGCCAGCATGGTCAAGTTCTGGTGAGGGTTCTCTTCCTGGCTTGTAGATAGCTGCCTTCTTGCTATGTCTTCACATGACAGAGGAAGAGAGAGAGATCTCTTCTTCTTCTCATAAGGCTGCAGTCCTATCTGCTTAGGGCTCCATCCTTATGACCTCATTTAACCTTAATTATCTGCTGAAGACCCTATCTCCAGATATAGTGATATTGGGGGTTAGGGCTTCCGCATAGGAGTTTTTTGGAAGTTGGACACAATTCAGTCCATAGCAAGCACCTACAGAGATTGTTAGATCCCCAGGAGCTACAGTAATGGGGAAAACAGCAGCGCAAACACATGTGACCAGTGTTGTTAACACAATGTGAACAGAACATAGCAGAAGCATGGAGGGGCAGGGGTGAATAGGTGCCTCAAGAAATCAAAGAGGGCTTGACAGAGAAGGTGATATCTGAGGTATGAGAAGTAATTTGCCAGATAGAAAACAGAAGAACTATATTTCAGGCAAAAGGACTACCTTGTGCAAAGGCATAGAGTTGTGAAAGGGCACGGCCTGCTTCATAAGCAATGAAAGGTTCTGTAGCACTGGAAGTGAGAGTGTATGGAGAAGGGGAAGGGGGACGCTGGAGAGGCAAGTTGGGGTTGTCACCTGAAGAGTCCAAGCAAGACATGATGATGGTCTAAGAAGGGCAAGGACAGTGAGGTTGGAATGTAAGGGCAGGGTGCAGGAGACCTTGGCAAGATCAAATTGACAGCATTTGATAACTGATTGAATTTTGGGGTGATGAGGAGGGAGGAGTGGAGGGCAACTCCTGAGTTTCTAACTTAAGGTACTGGCACCATTTACTGAGATACAGGAGGGGCAGTAGGTCTGGGGTGGGGGTGAGAGTAGAAATAATGAGTGTCAAGTATCTTTAGAACATCCTGAGGTTGGGTGCTAGCAGGGAGGTGGTGATGGAACAAACTCAATGTAGATTCATTAGCCCATGTAAGCAAACTATTTAATGTTTGAAAAGGAACTACCCCAAATAGTTAAAAGGAACAGTGCTCAGAACTCACACAGGGCTGGGAATAGTGCCTGCTCCCAACCAGCTAAAATTACAGTACTGGGTAGTGCTGCAGTCTGAATTTTAATGTACCCCCTGCCTCCCATATTAACATGTTAAAATCCTAACCCCCAAAATTAGAGTTAGGAAGTGGGGCCTTTGGGAGATTATTAAGTCACGAGGGTGAAGCCCCAATGATGAGATTAATGCCCTTAGAAGGAGACACAGGAGAGAGCTTGACTCCTTTCTCTCTCTCTCTCTCTCTCTCTCTCTCTCTCTCTCTCTCTCTCTCTCTCATCTGAAGGTACAACAAGAAGACAGCAATCTGCAAACCAGAAAGTGGACCCTCACCAAGAACTAGATGATGATGGTGCCCTGGCCTCAAACTTTCAGCTTCCCAGAACTGTGAGAAATAAATTTCTGTTGTTTATAAGTTACCCAGTTTTGGTATTTTGTTGTAGCAACCTGAATGGACTAAGACAAGTAGAGTACACAGAAGGTTCTTGCCTCAGTATGGTGACAAAGTTAGCCCAATACTTAACACTGCTCTTGTCTCATTTAACAAAGCTTAACAGAAAGACCCAAAAGAATCAAACAGATTCCAAGAAACTTAACTGAGTCCAGGAACAAAACTCAAGAATATTTACAGCAAGATTTCCCAACCTCAGCATGATTGACATTTTTGGGCTTCTTTAATAATTCTTTATTGTGGGGGCTGTCCTGTGTATTGCAGGACATTTACCATCATATCTGACCTCTATCCATTGGGTACCAATAGCATCCTACAGCTGTGACAACGAAGAATTTCTTCAGACAAACAAAACTACCTTTAGATGAGAACCAGTGATTATAGAAATTTAGACATATAAACAACCAACAAGGTAGAATACACAATATCTGGCATCCTGTAAAAGATTCCCTAGCATGGACAGAGCAGGAAACTGTGACTAATAAGGAGGATATACATCAATTAATTGAAATCAAACCAGAACTGGTACAGATGTTAGAATTAGCAGACAAGGATAAAAAAGTTAATTACAACTGCATTCTGTATGTTCAAAAAGTTAAGTGGAGACATGGAAGATATTTTTGAAAACAGCCAAATGAAACTTACAGTAATGACAACCACAGCATGTGAGGTGAAAAATGCATTGAATAGAATTAATAAAAGATTAAACGTTGCAGAAGAAAAGATTAGTGAACTTGAATACATACAGATAGAAATGATTTGAAAAGAAACACACATAAAAAAGAGAATTACAAAATGAATAAAGCATCAGTGAACTGTAGGAAAAATTAGAATCTCTGATGGAGAAAAAGAAAGGAAAGGGACAAGAAAAATCTTTGAAGATTTTTTTTTTTCAAATTTGATGACAATTATAAACCCACAGATTCAGGGAACTCAACAAATGCCAAGTGCAAGAAACGTGAAGAAAATTATGCCAAGACGTATTGTAATCAAATTGCTCAAAACCAGTGGTAAGGAGACTATCTTAAAAGCAACCAGAGAAAAAGACACATTATGTAAAGAGAGAGAAATGAAAGGTTTCTCTTTGTGAACAATATAAGTGAGAAGATGGTGAAGCAAAATCTTTACAACACTGCAAGGGAAAAGAAAACTGTTAACCAGGGATTTTGTATCAGGCAAAAATACCTTCCAAAAATGAAGGCCAAATAAAAACGTTTTGGTTATACTAAAGCTCAAAGAATTCATCACTAGTAGGCCCATGCTACAAGAAATGGAAGAATAGTAGACGAAAATATGGATCTACACAAAGGAAGGAAGAACACTGGAAATAGTTAACTACACAGGTAAATAGGTAAGATTTTTTTAAAAAGTATTTAAATATCTTTAATAGCTAGTGGACTGTTTAAACAAAAATAGTAACCATGTAGTGTGAGGTTTACAACATACGTAAACGCAAAATATATGACTATATATAGCACAGAGGTTGGGGGTGAAATGGGCATTATACTATTGTAAAGTTTTTATAGAATATGTGATGTAGTACATATCACTTGAAGGTAGACTGTGATAAGTTAAAGATGTTTATGGTAAATCTAAAAGTAATCACTAAAATAACAGCACAAAAAGTCATAGCTAATAAGTCAATAAATGAGATAAAATAGTATAAGAAAAAGACATTCAGTTAATCCCCAAGACAAAAGAAAATGTAACAAGGAATAGACGGGACAAATAGAAAACAAATAACAAAACAATACATTTAAACCTAAGTGTATCAATAATTAAATGAAATGTAAATGATTTGAATACCCAAATAAAGGATTGAGATGACCAGATTGGATATAAAAGCAACAGCCAATTATACACTACCTATAAGAAAAACATTTTAACTCCAAAGTTAGAAACAGATTAAAAGTATGGAAAAAAGATATACTATGCTAACACTAATCAAAAGAAATCTGAAATGTCCATATTAATATGAGATAAAGTATATTTCAAAGCAAAAATTGTTTCCAGAGGTATAGAAGTTCATTTCATAGTGATGAAAAGGTCAGTTCATCAAGAGGACATAACATTTCTTTTTTTCTTTTTTTTAAAAATATATATATATATATATATTATTGCATTTTAGGTTCTGGGATACATGTGAAGAACATATAAGATTGTTGCATAGATACACACATGGCAGTGTGGTTTGCTGCCTTCTTCCCCATCACCTATATCTGGCATTTCTCCCCATGTTATCCCTCTCCAACCCCCCACTCCCCGCTGTCCCTCCCTTAGTTCCCCCCCACAGACCCCAGTGTGTGATGCTCCCCTCCCTGTGTCCATGTGTTCTCATTGTTCAACACCCACCTATGAGTGAGAACATGCAGTGTTTAATTTTCTGTTCTTGTGTCAGTTTGCTGAGAATGATGGTTTCCAGGTTCATCCATGTCCCTACAAAGGCTGCATAGTATTCCATGGTGTATATGTGCCACATTTTCCCTGTAGAGGACGTAACATTTCTAAACATTTCTGTATCCAATAACAGAGCTTCAAAATACCTGGAATAAAAACTGACAGAACTTCATGTAGAAATAGAAAAATCCACAATTGTAAATTGCAGATTTCAAGACCCATCTTTCAATAATTGATAGAATAAGGAAAGAAGAAGATCAGCAAAAATATAGAATATATGAATAACACTATCAACCAACTCTACCTAATTGATATTTATAGAGCACTCCACCCAACAAAAGCAGAATACACTTTCTTTCCAAAAGCATGCAGCACATTTACCAAGCTAGACCATGTTCTGGGCTATAAAACAAGTTTCAATAAATGTAAAAGAATTCAAGGTATGTACAGTATATACAAAGTATGTTCTATGACTATAATGATTTAAATTAGAAATCAATAACAGAAAGATCTCTGGAAAATGCCTAGATATTTAGAAACGAAATAACACACTTCTAAGTAATTCGTGTAAGTCACAGAAGAAGTCAAAAGGAAAACTAGAATGTATTTTTAAATGAATGAAAATGAAAACACAAGGTAATAGAATTCATGGGATGCCACAAAATGCCTATATTAGAAATTAATAATAATCTTGAATTAATCGGGATTCTCCAGAGAAACAGAATCAATAGCATAGATAGATAGATAAAAAGAGATTTATTATGAGGGATTGGCTCACATGATTATGGAGGTTAAGATGTCCCATGATCTGCTGTGTATAAGCTGGAGGCCCAGGAAAGCCAGAGATGTAGTTCCAGTCCAAATACAAAGGCCTGAGAATGAGGGAGCCGATGGTGTAAGTTCCAGGTAGAGGGCCCAAGAACCAGGACTGCTGATATCTGAGCACAAGTGAAGAAGAATATTCCAGTTTAAGCAGAGAGAGCGAATTTGCTCTTCCTCTACCCTTTTGTTCTATTCAGGCCCTTAACAGATTGGATAATGCCCATTCGTGTTGTTGAGGGCTTTACTCCATCTATCAATTCAAATGTTAATCTTTTCTGGAAACATCCTCACAGACACACCCAGAAATAATGTTTACCAGCTATCTGGGCACCCCTTAACCCACCCAGTCAAGTTGACACATAAAATTAACCATCACAGTTCCTAAATCAGTTATCTTAGTTTCCACCATAAGAAACTAGAAAGAGATAAATAAATTAAACCCAAAGTAGAATAAAATAATAAAGATCAGAGCAGAAATTAAAGAAATAGAAGAAAAACAAACAATAGAGAAAACAAATTGAGCCAAAAGCTTAGAGTTGAAAATTCTTAGAGAACATCTGAAGTTCTTAGAGATAATCAATAAAATTATTAGATTTTTAGCCAGACTAATCAGGAAAAGAAGAAAGAAGACACAAATTACCAGTATGAAAAATGACAGGGGTGCTGTAACTGCAGATTCTTCAAGTATTAAAATAATACTAAGAGAATATTATGAACAACAACTTTTTGTCAATAAATTTGGCAATTTAGATGAAATGGATAATTTTTTGAAAGATGCAAAACACATAAACTCACTCAGGAAGAACAGGCACTATGAATAGCCCTCTATTTAAAAAATGAGTTTGTGACCAAACACCTTTCTACAGAGATAACTTCAGGGTCAGATGTCTTTATTGGTAAGTTCTACAAAACATTTTAAAAAGGAATAATACCAATTCTATATAAACTGTTCCAGAAAATTGAAAAGGAAGAAATATTTTCCTTTTCATTCTAGCTATGTTTATTACTAGCATTACCCTGATAACAAAAAAAGAAAAAGATGTTATGAGAAAACTACAGACCA